TCCTTTACACTCCGCAGGAGATACTGTGGTCACAGCCATATTGGAAGATCTTGGCTCTGCCCTGACCTGCAAGTGCCCTGAAGCCTAGGGAAAGTCTGGGAATTTACAATGTCTAGGAGGGGTAGGTGGCTGGGAGTCTAGAGGAATAGCCACCAGGTGTTGAATAGGGAGGTCAAGAACCTAACCAGGGGGGTTCATTTGGAAGTCACATGCTTTCACAAAGCTTACAATTCTGTATTCTGGGGTTTTCTTCCTCTTCCTCCCTTGAGTTTTAAATTTTTTCTTGATCAGTTTTCCCTTGCCTCTTCCTTTTCAGACTTCCCTTCTTCCACCCATTCCTCTCCTTTCTTTTCTTGTTGTTGTTGTTGTTTTATTTGTACTGGGGATTGAGCTCAGAGGCACTTACCCACTGAGCTACATCCCCAGCCCTATTTTCTTTAGAGACAGGGTCTCACTGAGTTGCTTAGTGATTCAATAAGTTGTTGAGGCTGGCTTTGAATTTGGGATCATCCTGCCTCATCCTCCTGAGCCATAAGGATTACAGGCATGGGCCACCTACAAATAATGCTCTTCTTTCCTTTTTATTGCCCTTTTTTTCTCCTTAGAAATCAAACTGTATTCAATAAAGACACAGAGAGAGAGAGTAGCCCTGAGACTGCCACGGATCAGGGAAGCAAGCCTGGCTTGAGAAACACTACCTGAACCTGGCCAATCTCTCTGCAGGATCCCAGTGAGGGTCTCTGACCTTTATGCTGTGCCAGCACTTCATGCATCTTGGGCCAGCTGGCCTCTCTCAGGCTTCAGTTCTCTGGAGAAGTTGGTAAGGGGATCCGGGAGAGGACAGACAAATGAAGGTAACAAGGGTGGCAAAGGTAAGAAGAGTTGGGCAGGTTTGGGGACAAGGGGAATATGAGCACAGGGCTGCTAGAATAGCTGTCTGAGGGGAACACATCAGGGTGACCCTGAGCTCTTGATTTTCTTCTACAGATGGGTGGGGGGATCTGAAAGTCATCCTTGCACCCTTTGCTGGGGGCAAGTAGTGTCGGGGTCAAGGGTAGATGGGCTCAGTAACACAGCACTTTGCTGGGCAAGGTATAACATGACTATCATTCCAACAACTGAGAGACTGAGGCTGGAGGATTGAAAGTTTGAGACCAGCCTGGACAGCTAGGTGAGACCCTGTCTCAAAATGAAAAAAGAAAGAAAGAAAGAAAATAAAAAGAGATGTAACTCAGTGGGACAGTGGGGGTGGTGTCACATGCCTGTAATCCCAGCTAGTCAGGAGGCAGAGGCAGAAGGATCACAAGTTGAGGCCAGCCTGGGCAAGTCAGGGAGATCCTTTCACAAAATAGAATAAAATAGAACAAAATAAAATAAATAACTAGGAATGTAGCTCAGTGGTAGAGTCCTTGCCTAACATGTGTGAATCTCTGAGGGGTCCCCAGCACTGCAAAAATAAATAAATAATGCCCATTGCTTTCCTGCTTCAAACTAAATCCACTGAAGAATTGAATAACACATGCAGAATAGATGCGGGGGGGGGGGGGATGTCAGCCTCATTACTACTTTTCTTTTCTTTTCTTTTCTTTTTTTTGCAGCGCTGCGGGTGGAACTTGGGGCCTCCTGCATGCCAGGTAAGTGCTCTATCATTAAACTACACTACCCTGAGGGCTGGGACTGTGGCTCAGCAGTAGAGCGCTTGCCTTGCATGTACAAGACCCTGGGTTCGATCCTCAGCACCATATAAAAATAAATAAGTGAAATAAAGGTGTGTCCAACTACAACTTAAAAAAAAAAAAACTACACCACCCTGGCCCTTCATCTTCATTACTGCTAAAGGCTTATTGGAATGTTGGAGCTCCTAGCATTTAGGAGACAAAATGGGCATTGCAAATGCTACCACTGCATTACACTTAACCTGTGGTCATTGGCACAGGTGTAACCCCAGCCTTCCTGGCAGATCACCCAGGTGACAACGGGCTGACTCCCTGGAGAGAAGACTAAGCCACATTTGCTGTGTTCTTTCTTTGAAGCTCACCTGTCAGGTTCTTCATGTTTCCTCTTCCCTGATGGAGAGAGGCCAGGAGCACTGTGAACAGAGAGAGGTTCCTTGTTCAGGGAAACACAGGGGTAGGGAATGAGTATTTCTCCCCTAAAGAGATGATCTCCACCCCTTCTCAGAATTCTCCCTCAGCAGGACTGAGTGGGACCTGGGGCAAGTCATGTGTATGAGAGAATATGTGAACAAGAGAGAGATAGGGAGGGAGACATCCCTGCAAACCCTTTACTGACCCTGACCAGGCCAAGACCACCAACTTCCCTGTTATCTATTCTCCACTCTCCTATAATCACAGCATCTCTGCTATTCCTGTAGTAGGAACCCATGATTGTTCTGACCTTGGCCTAGAGTAAGTTCCTGCCCTTTGACAGCTCTGAGCGCTGAACAAGTTCTTTGAGTGGTAATCTTATGTGACCACCAACAGTGACTCTTTGTAGCCATGTCTGCTCCCTGTTCAGCCTCTTGAACCCCTGGGGCCACCTTACCATTCTTCTAGCCTTTCTGTAATACACACACACACACACACACACACACACACACGCTCACATATGTGTATAGATAGTAAAATGTATATACTATATAGTAATATATATATATATATATATATATATATATATATACATATACATATGAATGTATATATACATATATAGTAAAGTGGGATGTGTGACTTGAGTTTTATAGATATCAGAAATTAAGATTGGAATAAAAGAACCTGTGATTGCCTGGTTTATGACTACCAGGTGACCTACAAGTATTCAGTGAACTGCCATTGATGAAAGAGGTGTGGCCTGCGAATTTATTGTTATTCAATAAATTCAGACACCATGGAAAGACATGTTTGGTATATATTAATGACATAATATGCTCTTGAGTGTGACAGAGCAAAATAGGAGCCGGGTACTTAATTAGTTTGTGGAGGTGCAATATCATGCTTATAGTGTTCTCTCCTGATTTGTTTATGTCAGTGAAACATAAACAAATTGTTTATGTCTTTCTTATGAAAGCCAATATCTTTGAAGGTTTGCAGTTTGCAAGTTTGAATCCAGATTCAACAACTTAGCAAGACACTGTCTCAAAATAAAAAACAAAAGGGCTAGGATGTAGTTCCGTGATAAAGTGCTCCTGGGTTCCTGGGTTCCTTCCTCAATACTGGGGGAAAAAAAAAAGCGATCAAGTTTGATCAAGTTGCAAAGCTGCACAGTGGTACATGTCCATAATCCTAGACACTCAGAAGACTGAGGCAGGAGGATTGCAAGTTTGAGGCCAGCCAGCCTCAGCAATTTAGTAAGATCCCCCATCTCATGTGTATATGTTTTAAAAAGGAAGATCCTTTTCTTTTTAAGTATTGGGGATTGAACCCAGGGCTTTACACAAGCATCCCTAACCCCAGGGAAGCTTTACCAGTAAGCTAGCCCTTTGCAACAGGGTGCAACAGTTGCCAAGGTTGGCCTCAAACTTGCAATCTTTCTGCATTAGTGTCCTGAATCATTACAGCTGTGTGCTACCATGATAGGCCATATTAAATTTTTTGTTTGTGTTTTCGTTGTGCATCAAACACAGGGCCTTACACATGCAAGGCAAGTGTTTACCTCTGAGTTATATCTCCAGCTTGTGGGCATACTTTAAACGTAGCACCCCAAGAACCTTCCAATTAATAATTCCATTTCTAAGTAGTTCAACTGCAGGAAAAGAGGTTAAGAACATTCCACTCTTGGAAAGCTATGTCCTGTGGCAGGACCAATATGTTGGAAAATTGTGGGTTTGGCTCATGTGAGTCAGTCTTCCAGATCCTGATTAACTGTGTTTGTGCTGACTTAGATTTTGCCCTTCAAAGCTGAGGACCAAAGCATATTGCTAATTTCTTGGTTATCAGATTTTCTGTCCATTCCCCAATCCTTTCCTCCCTATATTGTTGACTCATTCATTCTTAGCATGACTATTCCAGGGTCAAAGGGTCTGGAAGGCAACATTCTATAAATTTCAACTAGTGGGAAAGGAGACTTCTTTCTTGCAGCAGGATCCTACCCTTCCCCCTGCCCATCATTGCCAGACTAAGCTCTGGAAGTACTCAACTTCCTCTTGGCTCTCAAATGACCAAAGTCCATTATTTCCTTATTTGGAGTTTAAGTGGTGAAGCACTCCTGGTCTGCAGCTGTGCTCAAAAGGTATTTGCTGAAAGTAGTTATCTGACTTTTTTCCCTCCCTCTTTGCCCTTGCTGAGGATTGGGTGCATGCTAGGCCAATACTTTATTATGGAGCTACAGCCCCAGCTCAAGGGGCATTTCTTTTCCACCTTGTGTTCTACAGGGATCTCAACCGTCCTACAAAGTATGAGCTGTGGGCGATTATTCACATACACCTTAAACTGGGTGTTAGCTTACTGCTTGCAGGAAGTAGAACTTAAAATATTTACTGAAAAAAAAAAATGAAAAAATTGGCAAGGGACCTTCATTCTTTGATTGGCTGGGGTTCAGAGGACTTGAACCCTAAAAGGTCTGCATGCCCAACCTCACGTTGAAATCAAGGTTAAGTTCCCTCTTATTAAAGCTGTCCGCCCCGCCCTCCCGCGAACGTCACCCAGGTTTCAGGACGCGGGGACAGGCACGTTCCAGAGACTCAGTAGTTACTCAGAGGCAGTACAGGTGTCTGCCCACCACGGCCGGGCCCACCGTGCCACCGACTGCAGGCCCCAAGTCTTTTGTCTACGAGGTGACAGGCTATTGCTCTTCTTCCCCTCTCAGCTGCCACAGGGTCAGTGAGGCGACCGCGGAACGCGCCCTCCGGTGCTCCTGGGGCCAGCCTCGGTGCGCTCGGAGCTCGGACATCGCGGACATCGGACTACAACTCCCGAGAGGCCTCGCGCCGGAGGCCGCTGCAGGGCTGCACCGCGGCGGCGGTGCGGGCTGCACAGGCAGCACGTGCACACGGCGGGCGGCCGATGGCTGCGCTCGGCGGGGTGGCGGCGCTCCGCGCGGCGCTCGGGCTCTGCGGACGGGTGGCGCGCGCGGCTTCGGGGCTCTCACCCCGGAGAGGTTATGCCCTAGGCCCCGCTGAGGTGAGAAGGCCCGGTTTCGTGCGAGGGGCGAGAGGCGGGAGGGCGGGCCCAGCGGCCACCCGGTGACCCTGGCCTCCTGGGAAAAGGCCTTGGTGAGACAGCTGTCTCCAGTGCACTTCCATCTTCCCTGAGGCCCGGTGCCCCGGCGCGCAGAGATCTACCAAAACAAGCCCCAGACCTTGGGATGGTTTCTTGGCCCCTTGAGGCGCGCAGCTCCTCCCAGCCCCGGGTTTCTGGGCAGTTTCTAAAGTCGTATTTTCCTCTGTCTGGGAATGATTCCTGCTCTTCTTCTTTGATTTTCACCATGAGAACGTTTTGGGTGTGGTTTTAAAGCAGATTTCAAAGAGACTTGGCCTCTTGCGGTGGATGCCCTTTTGAGTCACACCTATAGTGCACAGCGCAGAAGTGATTGTCGGGTTGGTGCAGCTTTTTGCTTTGATCCCATTCGCTGTGGGCTTTGCTTGTAGGGAGCAACTGTTACGTGCAGAATTCAGGGAAGGTGAGCGAGATCATAGATGATGAGTGGGAGCAAGAGAACTGGGATAGGTAGAGTCCATGATTTGTTCCAGATACTGTAGAGGTATGTGCATTTCTCAACAACTTGGAGGAAGGTGTGCTGCTGCTGTTAGTGAGGAAGTCTGAGACTGGAGTTAAGTGTTATGTACTTTTTCCAGGGTCAAAAGCTGGTAGACTATGCTAAGAAGTTTAAACTAGGTTTGTTAATTACATAATGCTCAGCTGTTTTACTTTTTTTTTTGGTACCAGGGAATGAATCCAGGGTCAAAAATCCAGTGGTAAAAAATGAATTTTACCACTGATCCACATTCCTAGCCCTTTTAAAATTTTTAAAAAGAATTCTGAGACAGGATCTCACTAAATTGCTTAGGGCTCTTCTGAGTTGCTGAGGCTGGCCTCATACTTTGATCCTCCTGTCTCAGCCTCCTGGATCACTGGGATTATAGGCATGTGCCATCATGCCCAACACTTTTGCCTTTTCTTTAGAGCAGAATCATATGTCTTCTAAACCCACAGTTTCTGTATGTAATAAAATAATGTCCCACATTTACACAGTGTAGTCACAGTAATCCTTTTATTTTATCTTTTTTTTTTTTTATTTTTATTTTTTTGGTACTGGGGATTGAGCCCAGGGACATTTTACTGCTGAGATACATCCCCAGCCCTTTTTATTTTTTATATTGAGGCAGGATTTCACTAAATTACCTAGGACCTAGCTAAATTGTCGAGGCTGGCCTCAAACTTATGATCTTCTTGCCTCAGCCTCCTGAGTTGCTAGAATTATGGGTGTGGACCACTATGCCAGCATCTTTTTATGTTTTAAAATCATTTAAAACACATAGGGCTTGGGATGTACTGTAGCACATTTGCCTAGTGTGAGCAAAGCCCTGGGTTTGATCTCCACCACCACAAAAAAACAAAACAAAATCCCCAAACACATAGTGCTTACTTTTTTGCCAGGCATCATTCTAAGTACCTAACAATTATTAAATTCATATAATCTTTGTAACAACTCTGTAAGGTAAGCTATTGTTATTCCCATTTTACAGATGGAGAAACTGAGACACAGAGAGGTTAAGCAACTTGCCCAAGGGCACACAGCTGGTAAGTGGCAGTATCTGAAAAATCAGGTAGTGTGGTGCTAGAGTCCAAGCTCTTAACAATGTTACCATTGTTATTTTACTTAGACAAGGTCACAGAGCTAGAAGTAGCCAAGCTAGAAGTATGGAATGTGTTGATAAAAGGACTTTGTAAATCATAATGATAAAAATATAAGGAGATCTTCCCATAATTTATAGTTAATTGTATTGGCTCTAGCATCTTTGCAGGTCCTGAGATATCTCCAAGTGACTTTGTTGGTAAAAGTAAACAAAGGGAAGAAAGGGATGTAGCATAGCATCGAATTTATGAGTATTAGCTTTAGAATCAATCCTGCTGGGCAGTGTAGTGGTGCACACTTGTATCCCAGTGACTCTGGGAGATTGAGGCAGGAGGATCCTAAGTTCAAGGCCAGCCCCAGCCATTTGGTGAGACCTGCCTTAAAAATAAATTAATTAATTAATTAAAAAGAGCTGGTGATGTAATTCATTGGTCAAGTACCCCTAGATTCAATCCCCATATTGGGGTTGTGGGGTGGGGAAGGAATCCTTCCTGCACTGTTTATTAACTATTTAGCTTAAGGCAAATTACTTGGTGTTCTAAGTATCATCAGGAGGTGTCAGTAAGTGTCTATGTAATGGGAATAGTACTTACCATGCAGTGGTTTGTTTTTTTGTTGTTGTTGGATTTTTTTTTTTTTTTTTTTTGAGAATAAATAAGATCTACAGGTAGTAGTTGCCTAGTGACTAGCATAATGACCTCCCAGTTGTGGAAGTAGTTGTAGTAGTAAGGATTGTTTTTACCCTTGAACCATATCAAACCAATATAAGTAAGAAATAAAACCACAAAAGAGTATCTTATGGTCCTTTCATTTCAAATTAATGTTAAGTGTCACACATCTTTTTTTTTTTTTAATTTTTTTTAGTTGTTGAAGGATCTTTATTTTATTTGCTTATTTATAAGAGGTGCTGGGAATTGAACACAGTGCCTCACACATACAAGGCAAGCGTTCTACCGCCGAGCCACAATTCCAGCCCCAGTATCACACATCTTATCACCACAAAAATGAATTTCAGTTAGAGAATCTGGCCTAATACTTAAGACTAGTTTAAAAAAGATCAAGTGATACAGAAGAAAAATCAGAATACAGAAATAGGAGAGGATAGAAGAAAAAGTCTATCCCTTTCTCCTCTCTCTATTTTTTGGCGGCACTGGGGATTGAACCCAGGGGTGCTCTACCACTGAGCTACATCTCAACATCTCAACCCCAGCTCTTTTTTTTTTTTTTCATTCAGGAACTTGCTAATTTGCCAAGACTGACCTCAAATTTGCAGTCCTCCTACCTTATTTTTCTGAATGGCTGGGATTATAGGCCTGCCCCACTATGTCTGAGTCACTAACTCTTCCCTCTGGAAGGGATAGGGTGATCAGGAAGAACCTAATGGGAAAAGTCTGTCTTAGTTCTCTCTAGTCTTTCGTCCTTTGGGTCATTCAACATGCAGTCAACCTTTCTTGGGTACCTTCTAGGGTATAAGCACTATATCCAGGGGTGGTAGAAGGGCAGACCAGATCCCCCCTTTGTTCAGACCCATGTAGTGATTCTCTTTGAGAAGGATAAGAAAAGTAGTTGTAGTAGTAAGGATTTCCATTGTCTGAAAAGAACAATGGTTCCTTTTCCCAGAAAAAGTATGCACATAGAGTTTTAAGGGGGTTTACCTTGAAATCTATTCACTGGCCCCAAGTTAGGATCCCATTCTGGTAAAATTTGTCAGATTGCAGGGAGCCTGAGGGCTGTTGGGTGTGTGAATATATACTGAGTGTAGAGAAGACCTGGAATGCATAGCTGGGGATGGCAGGAGATAAGGGAAGCAGCATTTTCCGGACAAAAAGAAACCTCCTTGAACCCCTTGCGTGCTCTTAGGTGCTACCCTTGATCAGTGCACAGAGTCGTGATTTAGCTGCTACTTCATTTTGAAGTGGAATCCTGAATCCACACTTATGAACAGGGTGGTCCTTGTCTCATTCTTGCTGAAGTTGTTTTTTTTTTTTTTTTTTTTTAATGCTGGGGATTGATCTTAGGGACTCACACATAGTAGGCTCTGCTAGCTGAGCTTCATCCCCAGCCCTGAAATTGATTTTTGTTCGTCTAGTCAGATTCTTCAGTGACTACATATTAAGCACCCTGTATACCCTAAGCACATTTTGCTAGGAAATGCCATTTGGAGATAATGACACTTCCTTAAAGTGATGGTACACATAGTTGGGCATGGTGGTGCATGTCTATAATCCCAGCAACTCAGGAGGCTGAGGGAGGAGGATCATGAGTTCAAGGCCAGCTCTAGAAATGTAGCAAGACCCTGTCTCAAACTAAAAATAAAAAATTTAAAGAGCTGGGGTTGTAGCTCAGTGGTAAATAGCCCCTGGGTTTAGTCCCCAGTACCCGTCCCACATCTGTCTCCCATCCCCAAAAAAGTGATGGTACAGTGAATGAATAAAACTGCCATTGTTGTGTGTCTGGTTTGGTGTCTCCTACTGTAAGTCTCCTGGGCTGGAGCACAAATAAGATCAGTCTTTGAGACTTTGGGTACTGTTTAGGCATTTGTTGCATGGCACAAGGGTCTTCATTTCTCTCTGGCAGCTGTTTTCTGGTGTCACAGGTGCCATTAATTTGAGTTACTACCTCCTGTTTTTTAGTGTCCCTGCCTCCAGCTTGGTGTTGGAGCTGTCCTTGTCCAAGTCTGGGAGGTTCTTCATGTGCTAGCATAGAGGAGCTCAAGGCGGCTCCTCTAGGTGTCACCCGCTCAGTGGGAGGGGGACAGGATCATTACTTTGCAGTTACTCCTCTTCCTATTTTACTTGACCCAGAAATGTGTCCTTAGACCTTCTTGACCTCAAATCCTCTTGATTTTCCTCTCACCCTGCCTGCTGCTCCTCAGTCTTTTGCTGGCAGCATTTACATGGTCTGTCTTTAAATGACGTTTTTCTTCCTAGTTCCCTGAGAGCAGAGACTGTCCCCATTTGCATCTCCAGGACATTCTTTCCAGTGCTGATATTTTCACACCTGTCCCACAAGTCCAGAGTAGAAGTATCTTTTGTTTTCTTCCAACTTCCCTGCTTCTCCTTGATTTCAATGAGAGATCAGCATCAGCAGATTAGTATCCATTCTTCCAGGTTCTTAACGAACCCCCCCACCCCCCCCCCCCCCCCCACACCCCCGCCAAAAAAAGGCATTGGGGTTCCTGCGCTCCTCCCTGTGGCCCTGCATCTGAATGGCTAACAAGTGGCTGCTCTAAGTCCTATGCAGGATCTGCCTGTTCTTTCCATTTAAAGCCACCATCTGTCTTAGATTGCAGTTGATCCCGACTGGCCTCCACCCACTGCATTCCCTCTAGTCCATTCAACCCGTTTTCTCTGCAACCAAAATTTTTCTACAACATAGGTCTGATGACGTCACTTTCCTGTTTTAGAGTTCTTAAATTGGCCTAGGAGACCTGTGATGGCCAATCCTTCCAGCTCCTATTGGTTAGGTACCCCTGGAGCAGGCTCTCCATTTTTTGGTACTGGGGATTGAACCCAGGGAACTTAACCACTGAGCCACTTCCCCAGCCCATTTTTAATATTTTATTTAGAGATGAGGCCTTGCTAAGTTACTGAGGCTGGCTTTGAACCTGTGATCCTCCTGCCTCAGCCTCTTGAGCTGCTGGGTTTAAAGACGTGCGCCATTGTGCTTGGCATGGTGCAGGCTCCTTTAACCTAACACATCCCCTCATCTCTCTCTCTCTTTTTTTTTTTGTACTAGTGATTGAACCCAGGAGTGCTTAACCACTGAGCCACATCCCCACCCCTTTTTTGTATTTTATTTAGAGAGACAGGGTCTTATTGTGTTGCTTAGGGCCTGGCTAAATTGCTGAGGCTGGCTTTGAATTCGTGATCCTCCTGCTTCAGCCTCCTGAGCCACTGGGATTACAAGCATGCGCCACCATGCCTGGCTCCTCTCATCTATTTAGTTGTAGTTGGGCACAATATTTTATTTATTTATATCTGGTGCTGAGGATCGAACCCAGGGCCTCACACATGCTAGGCAAGCACCCTACGGCTGAGCCACAACCCCAGCCCCTCCCCTCATCTCTCTCTTTTTTTTTTTTAAGTAATTTTATTTTTTTTGAGAATTTTAATATTTACTTTTTAGTTTTCGGCGGATACAACATCTTTGTTTGTATGTGGTGCTGAGGATCGAACCCGGGCACACGCATGCCAGGCGCTTGAGCCACATCCCCCGCCCCTTCCCCTCATCTCTTAAAGTAACATTCAGGGTTGACTGTTCTATGGTTCCTTGTCTCAGCATTTTATCCACTGAACTGTAGGTAGGGACCTTGTCTATGCTCCTCTCTTGCATATCTAATCTGCTGTCCATGGGGCTTGGAGTTCAGGCTCTAGGAGAGTTTTGTTATATGCATGCATTTATTTAACTCTCTCATTGCCTACTTCAGTATTACCATCTAAGAAACCACCTGTGTTTAATTCTTATTTACTCAGAACTCAAAGCTTATTTGCATTTGCAAAATGCTGCAGTTTTTTTAAAATATTCATTTTTTAGTTATATATAGACACAATATCTTTATTTTATTTTTTATGTGGTGCTGAGGATTGAACCTAGTGCCTCACGCATGGTAGGCGAGTGCTCTACCTCTGAGCCACAACCCCAGCTCCAAAATGCTGCAGTTTTATTGGTTTGTTTTCTAGACTCATTTGTTCTGTCACTCCAGCTGGGAAATCGGGACTAGAAGACTAGATATCTGTGTTTTTAGTTGCTTTTCACAGACTGAGTCCTGTACATAGAGTAGATGCATGCTGTAGAATGGCATGACGTAGCTGACAGCAACAAAAGAAAAGTAGCAGATAGGTTAGACTTTTTAGACAATTGAAAACATCCATGTGTTAGTAGGCATTTTATAAAATAAGAAATGGAATGCATTTTCAAAAAAGAAAATATTCAACCTCATGAGTCCAGAAAATGCAGATGGAGATGAGGAACTATTTTTTTTTTATATTTAGAATAAAAAATGTCATCATTAACTGATACACGTGAAAATCGATATTGTAAGGATGAAGTGTGTTGTCAGTGGCCATGTAAGTTGATAAGTGTTTTTGGAGAACAGTTTGTCAGTAGGTGTTACATAATTACAGTGTTTGTACTCTTCAATTTATTACTCCTGCTTTAAAGATTTACCCTAGCTAGGCGCAGTAGCACACGCCTGTGATCCCAGCAACTCTGGAGGCTGAGGCAGGGGGATCATAGGTTCAAAGCCAGTTTCAGCAAGTAGTGAGACCATTAGCAACTTAGTGAGATCCTGTCTGAAAAATAAATAGAGCTGGGGTTAAGTGACCTTGGGTTCAATTCCTGGTACAAAAAAAAAAAAAGAATGTATCCTAAAAAGGGCTTGGGCTTGGGCTTGGGTGTAGCTTAGTGGTAAAGTACTTGCCTGGCATGAGCAAGGCCTTGGGTTCCATCCCCAGCACTGGGGGAAAAATGATTGGTGGGGGGTGGATATAATGTTAGTGGGTTATTCACTCAGATGTTATGTAGCTAGAAATGATGTCTAGAAAGTAGAGTTAAGTGTACTGATATGGAAAGATAGCTAAGAGATACCAGCTTAAAAAAGGCAAGATTAGCAGGATATGGTGGCACACACCTGTAATGCCTTGCCAATTTAGTGAGACCAATTTAGTGAGACCCTGTCTCAAAATGGAAAAAGGGGAGCTGGGCATGGTGGTGTACCCCTGGAATCTCAGTGGCTCAGGAGGGTGAGGCAGAGAAAAAAGGAAAGAAAAGTAAGATGGAAAACAAAGTGCAGTGTGATTTCATTTGTGTCTAGGCATGCACAAGTACACATACATGGGTATATGTAGCTAACGTGTAAAAGATGTATGTGCTATGTAATCCATAGATGTCTCTGAAAGATACACAAGAGAGGGAAGAGAACCAGGTAGAAGAAGGAGACAATAAACTTTTACAGCATTTCTGTATTGTCTGTATCCATTGAGTTGTTTCATTTGTTTAACTTTGTATGTGATAAAAAATTTCTGATAAAATAAAATTTTAAATGATGCTTATGAAGGCTGTTATAACTAGTAAAAATATTTATAATATATTAAGCAAAAAGAACAAGATGCAAAGTTACACATATATAATTGCAATTTATGTCTCTAGCTATAGGACTGACAATAAGTAAGGGACAATCTGGGCATGGTGATGCATACCTGTAATCCCAGCGACTCGAGGTTGAGGCAGAAGGATCGCAAATTCAAAGCCAGCTTCAGCAATGAGGAGGTGCTAAGCAACTCAGTGAGACCCTGTTTCTAAATAAAATACAAAATAGGCTGGGGATGTGACTTAGTGGTTGTGCCCCTGAGTTCAATCCCCAGTGCCAAAAAAAAAAAAAAAGGAAAGAAAAAGAAAAGGACAAAAAAAAGACAGGGATATGGTGTTTTGTTTTGTTTTATTTTTTGTGATACTGGGATTTAACCAAGGGCTGCTTTACCACTGACCTATGCCCCCCAGACATTTTTTTTTTTTTTTTTAATTTTTATTTTATTTTGACACAGGGTCTTGCTGAGTTGCCAAGGCTGGCCCTGCACTTGAAATCTTGCCTCAGTTGCTCAGCCACTGCTCCCTGCAGAAATGTATGAATTGGTTACGTTAAAGTGCTAGAATTATATTTTCTTTGAATTCCTCTATTTTCTAATTTAAAAGTTGTTTTATATTAATTATGCAGAAATTTTTTTTTTCAATATTGGGGATAGAACCTAGGAGGACTCTACCACTGAACTACATTCCCAGCCATTGTATTCTTTTATTTGTTTTACTTAGGTAAGTAAATATATTGGATCTTGGGGATTTAACCCAGGGGCAATTTACCACTGAGCTGCATCTCCAGCCCTTTTTTTTTTTTTTTTTTTAAGATTTATTTTTTTAGTTGTAGTTGGGCACAATACCTTTATTGTATTTATCCATTCTCACGTGGCGCTGAGGATCGAACCCAGGGCCTTGCACATACTAGGCGAGCGCTCTACCACTGAGCCACAACCCCAGCCCCTCCAGCCCTTTTTTAATTTTTTATTTTGAGGTGATTTATTTTTATTTTATTTTGAGTTGATTAGGGCCTCCCTAAATTGCTGAGGTTGACCTTGAGCTTGGGATCCTGTGTCTCAGCCTCCTGAGCCACTGAAATTATAGGCATGTACCACTGCACCTGGCTCTTTTATTTTTTATTTTGAAATTAGTCTTGCTAAGTTATCCAAACTGGTCTTGAACTGAGATCCTCCTGCTTCAACCTCCAGTGTTGCTGGGATTACAAGTGTATGCCACTTCACTTGCTGCAAAAAGTAATTAAAATATTTATGTGCTTAAAAAAAAGCCACAAAAAAAAGGAATGATTGTTATAATTAGATTTAGCTAATCAGAAATCCCATGCCTGGCATAGGTCAGTTGTAGAGTGCTTGTTTAACATGCACAAGGCTCTGGGTTTGAAATAGAAAAAAAAAATTTTTTTTTCTTTGTGTTGTAGTTTTTTTTTTTTTCCTTGTGATGTAGTTGTTCAAGGGCTCTGAGTGACTGACCTGGGATGACATTGAGCCTCTCTGTAAGGGTTGTTTCTTTTTCCTTCCTCCCCTTCTGCTTCTTGACTCCTGTGGTGATAATTCTCCTTTCTTTTCTCTGCAGAGCCCACCCACTTTTGGGTTCCTATTGGACATCGATGGAGTGCTGGTGCGGGGTCATAGAGTGATCCCTGCTGCTCTAGAAGCGTTCCGCAGGCTGGTGAACTCCCAGGGGCAGCTGCGGGTGCCTGTGGTTTTTGTCACAAATGCTGGGAACATCTTACAACATAGCAAAGCCCAGGAGCTGTCTGCCCTGCTGGGGTGCAAGGTAAAGCAGTAGCAGCCAAGGCGTGGAAGCCAAGGACTGTGTTCCTAATGGTCCTGATGGGTTCCTAATGGAACCCCACTCTGGCATTATGTCCCTTTCCCTGGGTTGGGGTACAGGGTCAATAAACCTAGTTAATGGCCAGTTGGGTCAGTGGAAATCTTTCAATCCTATGCGAAAATAACTTGAAGTTTTCCTTGCCTCATGAGTAAAGACTCATTAGCTCCTTTACATACATACACACCACATACATGGTGAATGAGCACCAAAATCTTGCCTTTGTAGTTGGCAGTTTTAGTTTATCCTCTTTGTATCCAATTTTCCCCCCTTTGGCGCATCAGGGTTCTCTTACAGTTTTAGCTGCTAGAAGGCAAGGATCACATTTGTCTAAAACTCCACGTGCCAGGAGGGAGTGTGTAGTAACAGCCCTTGTTTTTCAGAAATAAGAGGTGGACTGGACTCAGTGGTAGAATGAGCATTTGCTTCCAAAAGTATTCTGTCTTCACTCACTAGTGATTCCATGCTCCATCCTGACATGGACACAATCTTGTGTGTTGAGGATGAATTCAGGGGCTGGGGTGTCGCTTAGTGATAGCTACTTGCCTAGCGAGTGTGAGGCCCTGGGTTCAAGTCCCAGCATTGAATAAAATATGGTGGCGGTGGTGGTGGTGATGGTGAATTTAGTTTTTGGAAGGAATCCTTTGGAACCAAGGCACTAACAAAAGTGGCTGATTGGTTGGGTGACACTACTTGAGATTGAACACAGAGGTAAAGGAAAAAAACTGGTTCCCTTATGGGGTTTTCAGAGAGGGTTTCAAAAGTGTTCTCAATAAAGGCTGCAGTAAAGGTTAGTTTAAATATTTAAAAAGGTTAGTTTAAATATTAAAAAGCCAAGTCTTAGGCTGGGGGCATGACTCAGTGGTAGAATGCTTGCCTAGCATGTACAGGACCCTGGGTTCAATCCTCCACACAAAGTCTTTTAGTAGAACCAAAAACAAAAAGTCAAAGTCTAGGGTAGATTTCTGTGATAGTGACAAAGAGCATCTGAGCAAACCTGTGGTTTCCTAGAGTGGGATTGTGAAATCTAAAGGGGTGACAGGGAGTAGAGCCCAACAGAATTGGTGAGTGGTCAGACCTCACATTTGATGACTTTTTTGTTGTATCTGGTGTATCAGAAGCCAAATTAGGCAGATTCCTTTTATGACTGTTTGGGTAAGTTTTAGAAGTGTCAGGTGCCAAACAGGGCTTTTCCACCTTTCATTTCCTGGACAATTTTTTCCTTCCCAGGTAAAAGAATCTGCTACCTATGTCTCCATTATTTTCCCTCAACTATATGTCTTCCTCTGCTTTCCTTTCCTGTCCCTACAGGTGGATCCAGACCAAGTCATTCTTTCTCACAGCCCCATGAAGCTCTTCTCCCAGTACCATGACAAGCGGATGCTAGTGTCTGGGCAGGGACCTGTGATGGAGAATGCCCAAGCGTATCCTTTTGCTCTAATTGGAGAGGGGTTTTCCTCCCTCAGCCAAGTAGGAACGATAGTGAGGAGTGCTGGGTTCAGGATGCCAGGGTACACAGGCAGTATGGTAGCCTCTCAGGGAGTGAGAACAAGTTCTATGTATGGTCAGTCTTCATGCCTGGCAGTTCTTGAAAGGCAGTCTACATAATCAGAATCTTCTGCAAAGTTCAAACTACAGAGTCCTGGGCCTTACCCCTGGATGAGGAGTCTTACTTCACTAGGTTGAAGGTCAGATTCTGGAATTTTATTTGTGTATTTACTTTTATCCTGGAGATTGAACCTAGGGCCTTGAGTATGTTAGGTAAATGCTATACCACTGAGTTACATCCCTAGCCCAGGAATATGTACTTTAAAAAACCAAATAGCTCTCTGGGTTATTCTATAACTAGGTTTGGGAAGCATGGCCTGGCTCTCTTCCTTGGATGCTCAGCTAGAAGAGGATGTGGTTACTGTCCTCAAGCAGCTGCTTCATTTATTCTGGGTCTTCTGGGTATCACGCTGTGCTATGTGCTCTAGAGGGAAAAGGGGACCAAGGCAAAGAAATTGGGATTGTGACTTAATCAAAGGGTTTGTACTTGAGGCAAAAATAACACATCCATGAACAGCAAAGGAATATTTTAGATGGCATATGACATGTTGGAAGTGTAGCTCAGTGGTGGAGCACTTGCCTAGCTTGTGTAAGGCCTTACATTTGAGTTCCAGCATCACACACACACACACACACACACACACACACACACACACACGTTGGCATATGACTGAAGGCTGCAAAGAGTGGGATGGGTTTTTAGGTGTCACGGCATCAAAGGGAAGGGACTGTCCCTGCAGCTGGAATGACAGTGACCGTGGCTTCATGGAGCATTAGGGCTTTGCCCAGGAGGTAGTTAGGATTTCCCAGCTATGATAGGTAAGAGGTTAGAATGGAATGGGGTGAGGAAGAAGAGGGAACAGGAAGAGGGGACCTGGGGTAGGAAACCTTGGGAGCAAACTCAGGGCAGAGGGGGAGTTAATGCAGGCAATATTGCTGATGGGATAACCTGATGAAGTTGTCATTTTGGGGAAAATGATTTCAAGAGTCACTTGAAACCATGTCCAGTTAAGACTAAGTTGGAACTAAGAATGGGAAGATGGAGGCAGGTCTTGAAGGAGATAATGCTGGAGCTGACTTAGCTTATCTAAGACTATGCCTGGCTCCCTAGACCTCTGTATCTCCTCTGAATGCAGCATTTCTGTAAGAACAGCGCTGTTTGTGTGGGCTCTGAGTATGTGTAAGCTCCTTGAGGACAGAGATTTATATCCCTTTCACCTGGGGTGTGACCTGGCACCTGGAATGTGCCCAGTGGCTGTTGAGTGATTGCCCTGGCATTACTCACCTCCAACCACTTTGCCAGTATCCTCACAGCCTGCCTGCTGGCACCTGCAGGATTTATGACAAGAATGCCTGTGTGGTGTGATCAAGACTGGATCTGGGTTCTGCTCACTTGTGATCTGATGCATTCTGAAAGGCATCTTCCCTAGAACTGTCCAGCTTTGCTTTCCTGATCTTGCTCCAGACTGGGCTTCCAGAATGTTGTTACTGTGGATGAGCTGCGGATGGCCTTCCCAGTTCTGGACATGGTGGATCTTGAGCGACGGCCGAAGACCACGGTAATAAGGAATACAGGTTGGGTCATTTCACCCTCTGAAACACTCCCAGAGTCTCAATGTTCAGTTCTATCCTGTTCCCTGTGTTGGCTCCTCTCACTGACCTCACTGCCTTCCTGCTGAGAACCGCAGTTTGTTCCTGCTTCTGCACTATGGCCTCCTTGGAGGTAGCATCTGGCTTCCTTAAAGTTCCCTGGAGAGATGAGAGTGTCCCAGAGAAGCAGAAGGAGCCAAACCCTGACCTTTCTGCATTGTTTGTAATTAGCTGGGATCCCCATTCCTAGCCTTAGCATCTCCTCCACCAATAGTTTCGTATTTACTAACAGGCTTTCCCCGTGTTGCTGGGAGAATCATTAATCTCTGTTAAATCACTCAACTGCTATTCCTTTATCCTGAAACATGGTACAGAGTTGCCTTTGTGAGGAGCAGATTGCTCATGAAACACTGGCAATCCTGCTTATCCAGCCATGTGCCTTTGGGTTTGTCTCATATTCAAACACTGGCTTGATTTCTTTCTTTCTTGTTTTCACTCTCCACTCCTGCAGTGCTGGGGATTAAACCCAGGGCCATGTGCATGCTAGGCAAGTACTCTACTCCTGAGCCCATAATTTCCTGTCTCTTGTGATCCAGGCTTCTCAGTGATCCTCTCCAATATGGCTTCCTGTCTCTTGACTCACTTTCTCATGTGAACTTTATGTATATCACATAATTTATGTCTGAAGTCACACCATTCTCAAAATTAGATGAAATTCAGTTAAAAGCAGTTTTATTTATTTATTTATAAGTCCTTCTTCCAGAGTTTTCTAACACTCTAGACACTTCCTCCCCTTGGAGAATTTTCTCCTTGAACCATGCCAATTCTGTGGAGACCCAGAATGTAGAGTGAGGACAGATCTCAGAGTATCTTAGAGCCTGAGTCCCACAGAAGGGAAGTAACTCACTCCTGGTCACATAGCTCTTTGGTGGCAGAGCAATGGTCTGTGGAAGGAATGGACTCCAAGAGCTTGGTAAAGTGAAAGATCCTGCCTCCCAAACTGACCTCAAGACAATGGTCTGCCATGACCTGAAGGTTCCTTTTTCTCCATGGGCTGCCTTTGTCTTTAGCTACCTGGTTCTAGAGTGTCTTGCCTGGCCCCTGTCTTGCTTCCTATTCTAGCTGGGGAAAGATGGCTGACCACCCCTCCTCCTCACTGACTTCATTTGTGGTATTCTTCAGCTTGTGCTGGGACCAACCTGGTCGTCATCTTTTCTCCTTTTTCTGCGAATCTTCTTCCTTAGTCGTGTGCCGCTTTTCCTTGGCTTGGGCTGCACTGTGGGAAGGCCTCTGATCTGTGTGCAATGTGTCATTCCTCTCACCCACCCCTAAAGACTGGTGTGTGATTCTCCAGGAGTGGCAAGTGACTGTTGGTTGATGGGCCTCTTTGTCTCTTGGCAGCCCCTTCTGAGGAATGACTTCCCGGCCATTGAAGGTAAAAGAGGTCCTCCTCCCAAGTGGGTGTGGGGTCTTTTTCTTTCTCCTATCAGGACCTCAGGCTATTTTACTGTGACTGTTTACTTTCAGCCTGCTGTAGTGACAGGAAGGCATTGGGCAACAGGGCACCTGGGTTCTGGTCCTGGATCTGCCATTCCTTACCTCTGAGACTTCTGTTAATTTTTCCTTCCTCATGCCACTCACTTTATGCTGAAAAATTGTAAGCTTAGAGAGTGTTAGAGTGCAGAGGCACCCAGAGGCAATCTGGTCCACTGTTTCTCAGTTCTTCCGTTGTATAGGAAAAATTTTGGAACATTCCCTTTGGAATCCTGAAATTAAAATCACAGATAATTTAACTGTCATATACATATATTAAATATTAGTTAAGTTTATTATAAAGCCCTAAATGTAATAGGGGAAAATAAAAGGAAAACATTTTAGTAACAAGATTGTAATGCATTTTAATATTAATATTATTATCCAAGAAGTAAAATGCTTGCACTAAACATAGAGTCACGTGAGTGTTCTAGCTACAGATGCAGACTGATGTAAGAGTATTGATAGGTGTGAAATATATAGGTGTGTCATTGGGGCAGCCTTGACATTGGTGATTTTCCAAGGTAGAGAATAGCTCTTGATAAAGTTGTATTTTTACACGATAATTATATTTTTGGAAATAGCAGTGTTTATTAAAACAGTACGAAAATACTTTATGATTATTTGTAAAATGGAATTGGCTCTTTTACCTGTGAACAAGTTGTTCACTTCCATGAATATCAGGTGGGACACTTGGATGCTATTAGGACTCTACTCCTGAGCCCATGATTTATTAGGACGTGGGACAATTTAATTGTGTAGGACTATCTTCATCTGCTAAGTATGTCATTGTGACAAAATATATGCTCCAGTTTTATTTTGCTGAACCCAGGGCTTCACATATGCTAGGCAAGCACTCTACCACTGAGCCACATCCCTAGCACCCATATCCTTCAATGTCTAAAACACCTCCCTCTGGAAGGTACTGCCCCTTTGAGAATCACTGGTCTTGAAGCTCCTAGCAGCACATTTACAAAGTGCTTGTTTTGGCCTGTGCTGGGTTAGGTGTTGACTATATCTCATTTTTATCCTAATAACAGCAATATAGGTAGGTGTTGCTATTCTGTAACTGAGGAAACTAAGGCTTAGAGAAAGTAAGTAACTGCCATAGTCCTATGGGCAAATTTGCAGAGTCAGGTTCGAGTTCAGGGCTCTATTAGTCCAGTCCCCTGCTCTTGGCCATTAGGTTGTTTTGCCTGCTGGGGCTCAGATAGAAGGGAAAGCTGAGGGACGGAAAGCTCCCTGCAGAGTGCACTTGGGGTACGGTGTACTTGAGATTTATTGCTTTTATAAAAACCTCTTCTGTAAAGTACCAGTGGACACCAGTTAGAGAATGTTAAAGTGCAGAGGCTCCTTTCTGGGTCCTGGGCTTTGTTCACCAAGGGTGAATGGGTAAGTGGCTTGGTCAGGTCTGGTTCAGAGAACTCTGCCCTTGCCCATGTCTGTGCACTGAGGTGAAGAGCTTTGAGTGGGTGGCACCAGCTGGCCTCTGTTGCCTCCTGAAGGCTGTCTGCCTACCTGCCCATCACAAAGGGCAGATTGAGTACCCTACCCTCCTCACCTCTGTGCTTTTGCTCTTTAAGGGGTGCTCCTCCTTGGAGAGCCAATCCGCTGGGAGACAAGCCTGCAGCTGATCATGGATGTCCTCCTCAGCAATGGGAACCCTGGAACTGGACTGGCAACAGCCCCCTATCCCCATCTCCCTGTCTTGGCCAGCAACGTGGATCTTCTTTGGATGGCTGAAGCCAAGATGCCCAGGTGAGGACTGAGGGTCCTCAGTCTTGGCTCTGGCAGCCCACTGCTAGCTGCTGCCTGAGCAGTCCTGTGAGCACTTTGCCACCCACCATTCTGAAGCTCTGGGTGGTCAGAACCTGCCTAGCCAGGCCCTGTAGTTGCTATAGTAACTTGGCCTTTGGAAGGACATTCAAGGATCACTTCATATGTTAAATATTAAACTAAAAGTGCAGATTACTGGGCATGATGGTGTATCGAAATGATTTTGAACATATTATCCTGCTCTCATAATCTTTTTTTCCCCTATTTTTTATTGGTGCATTATAGTTGTACATAATGATGGGATTTGTTGTTACATTTTTGTATATGTACACAATAGAACAATATAATCTGGTTTCCTTGTCTAGGGGACAAGGACCAATTTTTGAGGTATTATTAGTGCAAATTATTCAACTGCTCCTCCTTCCTTGCCTCTGCCCAATAGCATTGGTTCTTTCACTTCTTTGTTTGCTTTTACCCTTGAGATGTAGGGGCAGGGAAGCCAGAGTTCTTCTGATGGTCACAGAGACCAGACAGTGGAGACAAAGTGGATAAGGTACATGGGTATTGAGGAAGCCCACGCTCCCTGCTCAGCCGTGATGACCTTAATATGTGCTCTGTCCTTTTCTGAGGCTGACAGGTGGCCCTTTTTCTGACCCACAAAGTGCTTGAATACAAAAACAGTTGATGCTGCTGTGCGCTGTTTGGATGCTCTTATCTGCAAGGCCAGTCTGCCATTCACTCCCAGTGGTTGGTCAACAGGGGTGGTCAGAGCCCCTGATTGCCTCAATTCCATGACTCATAGCCCCAAAGATACAGGGATGTACGGTATAATCTGTAACTTGAGGTTTGGCATTGTCTCTAAAGTGTTATTCCTAAGGTTTGGGTGTGCTGACACTAGTTTGAGCCAGGGGTTGGTTATGTAGTTGTGAACTCAGTAACAAGGGGCAAATTTCAGTTTATGAATCAAATTCAAGATTAATTTTTCATTCAAATTATCCAGAGTTGCAATAAAATTTTCATTCAATGGTTTACAAATTAAAAACAGAATTCCTTATATAAATAAGTGACACTGAAATGTAATTAATGTGTAACATGATATCAGTTAGGATTTTGTTTTGGATGAAAACCCAAAACATATCTTAAACAAGATAGAACTTTTTTTTTTTTTTCCCTCCTCACATGAAATAAGTCATGCAGTTCAGAACCTGCATCCTGTCAGTGATCTTCTGTCTCCCTGCTGTGCCGTCCTAAGTCCTTCATTATATAATCCAAAGTGGCTGCCCAAATACCAGCCATCACATTAGCATTCCAAGCGGCAGGGAGGAGTAGAGGAGGAAGAGAACAACAACACCCCCTCTTCAATTTTAAGGATACTTAAGTTTAGCTTGGCATTTTTGTTTAAATGAACTGTTTAATGCTATTTTAGCTTTATGGCTACATCCAGCTGCAAGGGAGGCAGGGGATTTATTTTTTATACCTAGTGGCAATACGCTCAGCTGAAAGTTAATACCAAGAGAAAAGGGTCTGCACAAATCTAAAGCACACTTTATCTAAAGCACACTTTATTTATTTTTGGGTACTGGGGATTGAACCCAGGGATGCTTAACCACTGAGCCACATCCCCAGCCCCCTTTTTTTCCAAATAGTTTAAATCTTGAGACAAGGTCTTACTAAGTTGCTTAGGGCCTTGTTAACTTGCTTGCTGACAGTGACCTTGAACTTGTGATCCTCCTGTCTCAGCCTCCCAAGTTGCTGGGATTAAAGGTGTGCACCACCACATCTGGCTAAAGCAGACTTTAAACTTAGGTTTCTGGAGTCAGACCATCTGGCTTGTAATTTTAGCTCTGCCACCATGAGGACCTTCTCTCTTGTTGGGCCTCAGTTTCCTCATGGGTAAAATGAAGATAATAGTATCTAGCCCAAAGGGTATTTTCGAGTGTTAAATGTGAGATGATGTCCCCAGTGCTAGAAGAATGCTCAATTAATGTTCGCTCCTGCTAGAAATATTTTAACCTTTCTCTATCACCCTCGGGGCCCTGGAGTAAAAGGTTGGTATAGTGGGTACTGCATAGGGCCTGGCAGGTGGCCTGGAAGACTGAGCTGCTGAACCTTCTTCTTGGACAGGTTTGGCCATGGTACCTTTCTACTTTGCCTGGAAACCATCTACCAGAAAGTGACAGGCAAGGAACTGAGGTACGAGGGTCTGATGGGCAAGCCCAGCATCCTCACTTACCAGTATGCGGAAGACCTGATCAGGCAGCAGGCGGAGAGGCGGGGCTGGGCTGCCCCCATCCAGAAGCTCTATGCTGTAGGGTAAGCTCCACATCGCTGCCTCATCCCTTTCACAAATTTCCCTCCCCTTTTTCTCTGCTCTCATGGCCCTTGTTTCCCTGTATCTGAGTCACATTGTACCCACAAAGTTGTTGTCCACCTTGAGACACTGAACTTGGGTTTTCTCCTCTTTTCCTTTTCCGGTTTGGCTGCCCTGCCAGAGATAACCCTATGTCTGATGTCTATGGTGCCAACTTGTTCCACCAGTACCTACAGATGGAGAAGCGTGGCAGGGCAGAGGAACTAGTGGCTGGTGGCCTGTGGAAGCAGCGACCCTCAGCAACCCAGAGCTGCGCCTCCATCCTGGTGTGCACTGGAGTGTACAGTCCCCAGAAGCCAGGGTCCATGGGGCCTGCCCACGGAGGAGCGGAGCCTCCATTCCACGGGCACCGGGACTTCAACTTCAGTCCGGGGCTCATGGAGGCATCTCATGTTGTGAACGATGTGAATGAGGCTGTGCAGCTGGTTTTCCACCAGGAAGGCTGGACTTTGTAGTGATGGGTGTTCATCAGAGGCAAGGGGGAAGGAGGGAGGGAGCTTGGGCCACAGGTGAATCCTGTTCGCTGGGTTCTGGTCAGGTCACTGGGTGTCAAGTCATGGCCTGGTTCTCTTGCCACTTTGCCTGCTGCCCCAGTGCTGGGATGTAACTGGTCAAGAACCATGGTATACTGGGGGTGCAGTCAGTGTGCATGAGCCCTGGGTTCCATCTCAAGCACTACAAAAACAAAACAATAACAACGAGAAGAAGACAGTGACTTATTTTTCCTGCTGAGCAGTAGCCACAGTAATGTACCAGGGGAGCATTTCATGTGGAACCATTGAGATTTCTGAGCCCAATTCCCACGTGCCTCTCCTGGCAATCTGACCTCTGAATGCTCCTTTTACCTCTGTGCCTCACTTTCCTCCTCCTTTTAGTAGGGACTTCTGAAAAATGGGGAGGCAGTGGGAATAATGTGGAAGTTTCTGCAGAGCCTTCGCTCTCACTGAAGGAACCACTGTGTTTCAGCAGGGTGTGTAACTAACACATTCTAGTTTTGACTGTATTTTAGTTTATTGCCCAGAGACTTTGGGGCTTTTTTTTTTTTAATTAAAGTCATCCTAATAAATATTCATTATACCATCTCTTGTGACGCTCTGTCTGGAATGTGCTGAAGTCCTGTGGGGAATGGGGAATGGGTGAGTGGTATACACTAGTCTCTCTGGAGGCAGAGAGATCTGTGGCATTTCACTTCATAACATGCTCTGGTCTCCTTTCCTAACTCTGTTCTTCTTCCCACCCGCAAACCCACACCCAGCCTGGGCTGTGAAGCCTGAGTCTGTCTAGGAATGAGTTATGCCTGGCTTTGGCATATGGTTAGCACGTTCCTTGGCATGAAAAAGAAGAGGGATCTTGTTTATGGTCTGTTCTAAAGAAGGGAATTTTCCTGTGGAGATTCCCCAAAGCATGTGTTTCTTCTTATAGTTCTTTATTTAGGAGTTCGTGTCTCCCGTGACCTCAGCATCTGTCACATCCTCTGGTGCTGTAGTTTGGAAGCTGAATGTCCCTCAAAGTCCCATGTGTTTAAAGTCATGGTCTCCAGTATGGTACTTTTGGGAGGTGGTGCAACCTTTGGGAGGTGTTCAGCTCCTGTGTTAGAGGCTTAGTCCCCAGTGCAGGCAGGTTCAGATGTGGACATTTGGGAAATGAGGACTTTGATCTCATCTGTTGGTTAATCCATTGATGGTTCATAAGTTTTTTTTTTTTTTTTTTGAGTAGTGGGGTGTTAGAGTTTGTAAACAAGTCAAAATAACACCTGGCATTTTGCCAGGGGAATGTTAGAGTTCGTAAACAAGTCTGGATGGTGCCTGGCAAAATGCCAGAGGGAGTGGTTTGAGAAGTAACAAAAGCGAGCCATTAAGTATGGAGATTCCTTATTGGTTGACTGATGTATCTAGTTTATGCTAATTAGATAAGCTGTGTGGAATGTATAAATACTGCTCCTGTCCAATAATAAACGGCTCCCACTCCTGCTGTATCAAGTACACAAGTTATTCGTCACCCCCGGTTATTTTGCTGCAGCTGGACTGTGGCAGTGGGGATTGAACTCAGGGGTGCTCAACCACAGGCCAGTCCTTTTTATTTTTTATTTTGAGACGAGGTCTCACTAAGTTGCTGATGCTGGCCTCAAACTTACGCTGTTCCTTCCTCAGCCTCCTGAACTGCTAGAATTACAGACATGCACCACCATGCCTGGACTAGAATTTAATGGACTATTAGAAAATGGTGGAAACTATAATAGGAGTTGGGACCTATTTGGAGGAAGTAACTGGGGTGCCCGCCTGAGGGTATATCCTGTCCCTGGCTCCTGCATCTCTCTGTCTCTTACTTTGTTTCCCAGATGCCATGCAACTCTGTTCCAGCATGTGTTGCCTACCATGTTGTTCTGTCTCCCCAAAGGCCCATACTAGTCAGGGACTGAAACTATAAGCAAAAATAAATCTGACCTCTCAATTGATTTTCTTAGGTATTTTCTCCCAGTGATGGAATGCTGACTAACATACCCCTGGTCAGGGTAGTGGAACCCCAGCTCCTTCCTCTTCTCTCATTTCCAGGCAATGAGATGAACAGATTTTGCTCTGCCAAGTGCTTCTGCCATGTTGTACTGCCCAAGAGAGTGGGGCCATGCTATCATGGACCAAATCCACAACCGTGATCCAAAATAAGCCTGTTTTCTTGACAAGTTTATATATATCAGCTAATTGCCACTACCCAGCCTGGCCTTTCCTTCTTCCTTAAGACACTCTTGGCTATATCTGACTGACTTCTTGACACCTTTGATTACCTCATAATTGTTTGGAGGTGAGGGAGCAAAGATTGAGAGAGGATGGCCGTGGAATAGAATCGAAAGTGGGCATCCTGAGAGCTGAACCAAGAGCACATTTCATGCTCACTCCATGTCGTACCAGCACTTACCACCGTCCCCACCCATAGTCCTAGCGCCTTGCCCCTGGATTGTTGTAACCTTCTTGTTTCATCTCCTTCCTCTGTCTCTCTCCCTCCCTTCTATTCACTGGTGTCCATACATCAGTCACATTATAAACTAGTTCTGTTCTCTGGTCAAATCCCTTCTGTGACTCCCTGTGTCACTGAGTAAAAGCCCCGAATTTCTTACCATGGCACAAATGCCTCTCCAACCTGTTGCTCCATCTTGGACCTCACCAACTATTTCCCCCTCCATCACTTTATGCCTGAACAATGGCCCCCTTGCTGTTCCATGCAATCTGTTGTCTCAGGGCCTCTATACCTGTAGTTCCCATCCACACCTGGTTCACTGCATCTCTTCCTTGTTTGCTTGGTAGCCCTGAGGATTGAACCCAGGGGCACTCTATTTGAGTTACATCCCTAGTTCTTTTTATTTTATTTTAAAGACAGGGCTAAATTGCTGAATCTGGCCTCAAACTTGTGGTCCTCCTGCCTCAGCCTCCTGAGTTACTAAGGATTACGGATGTGTGCTACTGTGCCTGGCCCTTTTTTTCCTTCTTTTTTTTTTTTTTTAATATTTACTTTTTAGTTGTAGTTGAACACAATACCTTTATTTTATTTATTTTTATGTGGTGCTGAGGATTGAACCCAGGGCCTTTTACGTGCTAGGCAAGCGCTCTACCACTGAGCCACAACCCCAGCCCTCCCCATCACTTCTTAAAGATCTGGTGGATAGATCACCTCATAGATCTCTGAGAGTTCTTCTAAAGAATAGTATCCTGTGCTGGGGCTCAGCAGTGGAGTGCTCACCTCACATGTGTGCGGCCCTGGGTTTGATCCTCAGCACCACATAAAAATAAATAAATAAAAAATGTATTGTGCCCAACTACAACAACAACAACAAAATATTAAAAAAAAACGGGGGATGGGCTGGGATGTGGCTCAGGAAGAGCGCTCGCCTAGCATGCATGAGGTACTGGGTTCGATCCTCAGTACCACATAAATATAAAGATATTGTATCCACCTATAACTAAAAAATAAATATTTTAAAAAAGAATAGTATCCTGTATCCCCCACCTTATCCTGCTTAATTTTCTTCATGGTAATTATCACCCCATGGCCTATATGTACTTGCTTATTCTATTCTAAAATAGAGATACCATGGACTTGGTCTGACTCACTCACTGTGATATTCCTCACACCTAATACCTGACATTTGGCAGGACTGAGTAGATTGTGTTGAATAGATGGCCCCTGCTGGCCCTGTAAGTCCTCTTATACAGTCCTTACAAATATACCTTTCTTTTTTTCCTTCTCCCTTGATAAATATGGCAAAAGGGAAAAGACTGCTGGGCGTGGTGTTGCACACCTGTAATCCCAGCGGCTTGGGAGGCTGAGACAGGAGGATCGTGAGTTCAAAACCAGCTTCAGCAACTGAGCAAGGCACTAAGCAACACAGTGAGACCCTGTCTCTAAATAAAATACAAAGTAGAGCTGGGGATGTGGCTCAGTGGTTGGGTGCCCCTGAGTTCAATATCTAGTACCAAAAACAACAACAACAACAAAAAACGGAAAAGACTTAGACTTGGAATGGAATCTCTGTTCTGCTCTGCTCTTTAGCTGTATGATCTTGTACAATCTCCTCCTTTTTTTTTTTTTTTTGTACCAGGCATTAAACCTAGGGCCACTTAATCAGTGAGCCTCATCCCCAGCCCTTTTTATGTTTTGTTTTGAGACAGGGTCTCACTAAGTTGCTTAGTTTCTCCCTAAGTTGCTGAGGCTGGCTTTGAACTCGCAATCCTCCTGCCTCAGCCTCCAGAGTCCTCCTTCACTTCTTTAAGCTTTCATTTGTAGAGTTGGCATTGGCACTGTCTGTCATAGGATTGTATGAGAAGTAAACCAGCTATTTTAAGTACAGTTTTCATCATTCAGGCTATTTTTTTTAGGCAATAGGAAATTTAGGGGTAGGCATTTCAGGGCTGGGAGAGTAGCTCAAGGGTGTCTCCAGGGACTCAGGGTATTGTCCCACCATCTTGTGTCTGTTTCCTAAGGTCAAGATGGCACATGTTATAGTTTGGATCTGAAATGTCCCCCAGAGTCTTATGTGTTGAGGGCCTGGTCTCCAGCCTGCAGTGCCATAGGGAGGCGGTGGAATCTTTAAGAGGTGGGGCCTCTTGGGAGGGGGGTGTGCCCTTGAAGGGGGATATTGGGACCCCAGCCTCTTCCTCAATTTACCCCTTGGCCACTTTGAGGTAAGCAGTTTCATTGCCTTGTATCGTATTGTATTGTCATAATGTATTGCCCCACCACAGTCCCAAAGCAACGGGAACAAGGGAACTTGGACTGAAACCTCTGAAGCCCTGAGCTAAAATAAACTGCTTACCTCAGGTATTTCATCACAGCAACGGGAAGCTAACACAGTAGGATTCTGCTTTTGGGGTTTTTTTGTTTGTTTGTTTTGTTTTGGAGGAGGGGGGCCCTGGGGATAGGACCCAGGGCCTTGCACATACTAGGCAAGTGCCCTACCACTGAACTACATCCCCAGCCCCAGGACGATTCTACTTTGAAGCCTTGTCTGTGCCCCAGAAAGGAAGGAGGAAAGAGCAAAGAGAACATGTGGAACTCGACTCCTTTTTAAGAACTTTGTCAGAAGTTGTCCCCTGTCCCCCAGAAATTCCAGTTCTGTCTGGGTGGCTACAGTGTAAGGAGGCAGGGATAGAGCACAATGCTGCTCAAACAGAATTAGGGTTTTTATTTTTTGGGGGGGGAGAGGTACCAGGGATGCTCTACCACTGAGCTATATCACCAGCCCTTTAAGTTTTATATATTTTTATTTTGAGACAAATTCTTGCTAAGTTGATGAGGCTGGCCTCAATACTTGAGAACCTTCTGTTTCAGCCTCCTGAGTCCTTAGGATTATAGGCCTGTGCCACCATGCTCAGCTTGTTGTTTTTCTTTCTTTAATGTCTGTTGTATTCCAGGCAAGCACTGAACCACTGAGCTATATTCCCAACCTTAGGATTCTGTTTGTAAGGAAGGATGGCAAAATGGATATTGAGTAGGTACCTAGCAGCACCAGCTACAGCACCTGGTTCTCCAGGTAGCACTTACCTGTGATTATTTCAAGTTCTCTGAGGACATGGGTCAAGTTCTGGCCT